CTCTGCCAGTGTCACCTGGGGGGGTGGAAAGGGAGGGAGGGAGGAGAAGAGGTAATTGACTCTGGTAATTGACTTTGCCGCGCGTTAGACGTGGAGAGGCTCCATCTTTATGCAAGGGCAGGTTTTTAGGCCACGTGCAGTACTAAGGGTGATGAAGGAGGAAGTGCCTCGGAAGGAGGAGCTTAGCTGTGGGGCAGTGCCCTGGTGCAGAGCAAGATGTGGGAAGGGGAGACTGGAGTCTGTTTGTGCCAGAGCTTATGGCTCTGGTCTGTTTTTTTGTAGTCGCGGCGTGTTCCTCTGGCATTCCAGCTGTCAGCGTACTGCTCTGCCAGTGTCACCTGGGGGGGTGGAAAGGGAGGGAGGGAGGAGAAGAGCTCCAAGCTCCAACAGGGTAGGTTTAGACTGAACATTAGGAAGGGATTTTTCACAGAGAGAGTGGTCGGGCATTGGAACAGGCTGCCCAGGGAGGTGGTGGAGTCACCATCCCTGGCTGTGTTTAAGGGACATTTAGATGCGGTACTGAGGGACATGGTGTAGGGGAGGACTTTGTAGAGTAGGGTAGATGGTTGGACTCGATGATCCCAAGGGTTTCTTCCAACCTAGATGATTCTATGAAGATCTTAGGAAACCCACCCGTGCTGCAGGTCCTCCTGCTCTGCTCACGGCGCTCCTCACTCCCCACCATGGTGGGACAGAAGAGCAGGGCATCTCCTTCCCGGCTGGGAGCAGGAGTCTGACCCCCCACACCCCGGGACCCCATGGGGCAATCCCCTGGTAGGGAGCAGAGGGTGGCAGTGGGTACCAGGTGTGGGAACCTACCATGATGGAGGAAAGGCCACCAAACGGGGAAGGATGTGCAGTGGCCTGGGAAGGAAGATCCAGCTGGCAGCTGCCGGCCCTCAGTTCATGCGGGGAGGAGGATGCTTCAAAGACACACATGCCAAAAAAAAAATTAAAATAATCCTGAAAACTGTGGTTTCTACAGCCACGAGGGCATGGGGGTCATCATGAGCAGAGCAGCGGTGGCCCGTTTGGGACACGGGCTGTGCCGAAGGCTACCAGCTGTGGGTCGGCAGGATGGCTCATGGAGCTACCACACCACCGTGGGTTCCTGCTCCTGAGAAAGAGTGACCTACATAGGGGAAAAAAAAAACCCAGATGGGAGCCAAATGTTGATCTTGCCGCTTGGAGGAGAACAGAGAGGCAGGGAAGCATCCGTTTCATGAGGAATAAACTCACGGAAAATAATTCCTGTGTCGGCAAGGATGCCAGATCTTGTTTTTTTTTTTTCTTTTTGCCTGCTTTTTTGGCAGGACTGCAGCTCAGTGGAGTGGAGCCAGAGCCCCGCTGCAATTTCGAATGGCTGGATCTTAAAAACAGGTCGCTGTCGGGGAAAAAAAACGCGTGGTGCCAGATGTGACAGCCCAAGGGGGGCTGCTGTGGCCACCACGTCCTCAGCCCCAACCGGTAGCCAGCTTGTAGTCCCAGTAGGCACCCACAAACACGTGTATACACGGATGACCACACAGAAAATGGCCAGCCACTCAGAGCACTCACATGAACGTGGCACCAGCAGCCTCATCCCACCACCTCCTCTGGCTGAGCCGGGTGGAGATGCGCTAGTGAGCACGCGTATATACGTGTGTGTGTATTTATATAGGTACACACACACCCATATGTACAACGTGGCTCCAACAGCCGGGCTCAGGAACTCTGCCCAGTAGCTGCTCCTCAATCCCAGCCTCTATAATCACCCTGGTCCTCCAACAGCCAGCTCCCCCCATGGCACTCCAGACCCCCAGGCCCCTCAGCCTCTTCATCAGCTGCCAGGACCCCCTGCCTCCCCCCCCGACAGCCGGCTCCTCCCTTGCATCTCCCCCTGACTCCCTCCGAGGCCTTAATTTTGGTTCCCACCTGCCATTGTGCCCCTGATCTCCTTTAGATGGGCCTTTAGATTAGGAGAGGGTTCTTCACTGTGAGGGTGGTGGAGCACTGGAACAGGTTGCCCAGGGAGGTGGTTGAGGCCCCATCCCTGGAGATATTCAAGGTGAGGCTCGACGAGGCCCTGGGCAACCTGGTCTAGTTGGGGGTGTCCCTGCTGACTGCGGGGAGGTCGGACTAGATGACCTTTGGAGGTCCCTTCCGGCCTGGGCAACTCTATGATTCTATTTGGTGGGCTGATGGCGCCTGGCAGGGTGCTGTTGGGGCTCCCCCTCCTGCTGTCACCTCCCTGTGCTCCTCTGTGGGTGTGCAGATGAGCTTTTAGAACATCACCTCCTTAATGATCGGTATAGTTAGGTTTGGGATCTTTTCTAATTTTTTATATATATAAAAAAGTTTTGGGTTTCCTTGTATAATTTCTCTCGTTTCTTGAAAGTTCTAGAAAGTTCTAGTTGCCATCTAGAAGCCAGGCAACCCAGCCACATGTTCCTGTTGCAAAACCACGTAAAACGTGTGCTGCGTGTAGATCACGCATGACTTCTGCCGGTCCTTTCTTCAGCGTGAAGGGACGAGGGACGGGAAGAACGGTGGTTGGACCTGATGATCTTCAAGGTCCCTTCCAGGCTAGACAGTTCTATGATTCTAGGCAAAGCACGTTGTCGCTTTTCTTCCAGCACCCATTTGCCGAAGGGCTCCTTAAAGCCTTGGAAAGCAAAGGCAGGAGGATCTGGGGTGCTTTGTAGGGAGAAGGTTGTGGGGCTTTTTGCAGGGGATATAGTGGAAAAACCCCCTTTTGCAGGGGATATAGTGGAAAAACCCCATCACAGGCAGGTTGATGACCAGGGAGTGAATTCAGGTGGAGCAAGTGTAGCAGGGGAGAAGAGGTCAGCGCTGGGGAGTCAAGTGGGATGAAGTAGGGGATGCAAGTAGCATATCACCCTGCAGCCCTGAGCGCATAGGGATGCTTTGCAGGAAGGGTGATGGCTGGCACACACCCTGTGAGAGCGTGGGACTCGTGTGTGACGGCTGTGGGTCCAGCTCAGCTTGGACCAGCTTATCTCACACTGACGTTGCCCGGGGGCTGCGATGGAGCAAAGTCCACCGGAGGGAAAGGGCGCGGGGCCTTGGACTTTGGTACTAACTGCAAAACACCGGTGTCCCTCAGCTCCGAGCAGCGTTCCTGCCCAGTAAACACCCAGCTCTGCTCAGCAGGCAACGGGGGCACCATGGCTGGGCAGGCACCGACGGATGGCATCTCCCCCAGCCTCAGCCCTCCCCGGCTCCCCAGCCTGGGGCAGGAGGCTGAAGCAGCATCACCTGCAACAGGTTGGGACATCGTGCCCCCAAAAGCTGCTTCCTGGCATCCGGGAGATCATGTCGTGGGAGGTTTCGTGCAAAGCCCCAGCCTGATTCTGCTCAACACCTTAATTAAACATTTATCAGAGGGAATGTCTTTCCTCAGAGATATTCACCGCCTGAATGGCCACCAACTCTCCGCAGCCCAGCCTTTCCTTGAAGCCAGCCCCATTTTGAGCTGGGGGGTGGGGGGAGAAGGACAACCTCCAGTGGTCCTTTCCCACCAAAACGATCCTTCAATTCTCTGGAGAAACTCCTAAAAATTGCGGATGCCACCCAGCTAGAAAGGACCGGGAGGCAGAAGAGGATGACAGGGTGCTCCTGCTGAAGGCAAGACATGCTCTAAGCTTTCCACGTGGAATTTAATACCCCAAAAATGACAGGTGGAGCAGCAAACTGACCCACGCAGTCGGCTGGGAGGAGGAAGATGAAACCAGCAGGATGAGGCGCTGGAACAGGTTGCCCAGAGAAGCTGTGGCTGCCCCATCCCTGGAGGGGTTCAAGGCCAGGCTGGATGGGGCTTTGAGCAACCTGGTCTGGTGGGAGGTGTCCCTGCCCATGGCGGGGGGGTTGGAACTGGATGATCTTTAAGGTCCCTTCCAAACCAAACCATTCTATGATTCTATGATTCTGTGATGAGAAAAGAAGCGGTGGGGAGCTCGGGTGGCCCATGCGCGGCACATCAGCAGGAAACCCAGCCGTAGCTGCGGTGGGATGCACAAACCTCAACAGGGCCTGCGAAATTCGAGAAGTTTCTCCTTTTTTGGGGGGGGGG